GTCATTTGTTTCTAGGTATTTTTTGATTTCCTCTTTGATTTCTTCAGTGATCTCTTGGTTATTTAGTAGTGTATTGTTTAGCCTCCATGTGTTGGAATTCTTAGTTTTTTTCTTGTAATTGACATCTAGTCTCATAGCATTGTGGTCTGAAGAGATACTTGATACGATTTCAATTTTCTTATATTTACTTGACTTTTGACCCAAGATATGATCTATCCTAGAGAATGTTCCATGAGCACTAGAGAAGCAAGTGCATTCTGTGGTTTTTGGATGGAATATCCTATAAATAGCAATTGGGTCCATCTGGTCTAATGTGTCATTTAAAGCTTGTGTCTCCTTATTTATTTTCATTTTGGATGATCTGTCCATTGGTGAAAAGTCCCCTACTATGAGTGTGTTACTGTCGATTTCCCCTTTTACGGCTGTTAGCATTTGCCTTATGTATTGAGGTGCTCCTATGTTGGGTGCATAAATATTTACAATTGTTATATCTTCTTCTTGGATTGATCCCTTGATCATTATGTAGTGTCCTTCTTTGTTTCTTGCAATAGTCTTTATTTTAAAGTCAATTTTGTCAGATATGAGAATTGCTACTCCAGCTTTCTTTTGATTTCCATTTACATGGAATATCTTTTTCTGTCCTCTTACTTTCAACCTGTTTGTGTCCCTAGGTCTGAACTTGGTCTCTTGTAGACAGCATATATATATATATGGGTCCATTCAGCCAGTCTATGTCATTTGGTTGGAGCATTTAATCAATTTACATTTAAGGTAGTTATCAATATGTATGTTCCTATTACCATTTTCTTAATTGTTTTGGGTTTGTTATTGTAGGTCTTTTCCTTCTCTTGTCTTTCCTGCTTAGAGAAGTTCCATTGGCATTTGTTGTAAAGCTGGTTTGGTGGTGCTGAATTCTCTTAGCTTTTGCTCATCTATAAAGCTTTTAATTTCTCTGTCAAATCTGAATCAGATCTTTGCTGGGTAGAGGAATCTTGGTTGTAGGTTTTTCCCTTTCATCACTTTAAATATGTCCTGCCACTCCCTTCTAACTTGCAGAGTCTCTGCTGAAAGATCAGCTGTTAACCTTATGGAGATTTCCTTGTATGTTATTTGTTGCTTTTCCCTTACTGCTTTTAATATTTTTTCTTTGTATTTAATTTCTGATAGTTTGATTAATATGTGTCTTGGCGTGTTTCTCCTTGGTTTTATCCTGTATGGGACTCTTTGTGCTTCCTGGACTTGATTAACAACTGTTTCCTTTCCCATGTTAGGGAAGTTTTCAACTATAATCTCTTCAAATATTTTCTCAGACCCTTTTTTCTTCTCTCCTCTTCTGGGACCCCTATAATTCGAATGTTTGTGTGTTTGATGTTGTCCCAGAGGTCTCTGAGACTGTCCTCAATTCTTTTCATTATTCTGCTCTGCAGTAGTTATTTCCACTATTTTATCTTCCAGATCACTTATCTGTTCTTCTCCATCAGTTATTCTGCTATTGATTCCTTCTAGAGAAGTTTTAATTTAATTTATTGTGTTGTTCATCATTGTTTGTTTGCTCTTTAGTTCTACTACGTCCTTGTTAAACGTTTCTTGTATTTTCTCCGTTCTATTTCCAAGATTTGGGATCATCTTTACTATCATTACTCTGAATTCTTTTTCAAGTAGACTGCCTATTTCCTCTTCATTTGTTTGGTCTGGTAGGTTTTTACATTGCTCCTTCATCTGCTGCATGTTTCTCTGTCTTCCCATTTTGCTTAATTTACTGTGTTTGGGGTCTGCTTTTTGCAGGCTGCAGGTTTGTAGTTGCCATTGTTTTTGGTGTTTGCCTCCCTTGGGTAAGGTTGGTTTAGTGGCTTGTGTAGGCTTCCTAGTAGAGGGGACTGGTGCCTGTTTTCTGGTGGGTGGGGCTGGATCTTGTCTTTCTGATGGGCAGGGCTGTGTCCGTTGGTGTTTTGGGGTGTCTGTGAACTTAGTATGATTTTAGGCAGCCTCACTGCTAATGGATCAGGTTGTGTTCCTGTCTTGCTAGTTGTTTGTCATGGGACGTCCAGCACTGGAGCCTGCTGGTCTTTGCGTGGAGCTGAGTGTTAGCATTGAGATGGAGATCACTGGAGAGCTCTCGCCGATTGATATTACATGGGGCCTGGAGGTGTCTGGTGGTCCAATGTCCTGAACTTGGCTCTCCCACCTCAGAGGCTCAGGCCGGAGACCTGGCTGGAGCACCAACACCCTGTCAGCCACATGGCCACGCTTCAAGCTAATTCCTCCTCCAGTCCCAGCGACCCAACCAAATGGTAAAACCGTTTGCAAATCTCTGGGATCAGGTATCTTGGATGTTCCTTGTCCTGCGCACAGCACTGCAGTAAGCAATAGTCTCCCTCCAGAGTGTGACAACCAGACATGGCCCGTGGAAGGGGTACCCGCTCCCTCCAACCTTCTCACGGCTTTGCTTCTGGCACTCCACCTAAAAAAGATATTCGTAAACATAATGTCAGAGGAAGGAAGAAAGTAAAAGTATAGAGAAAGATAAAGTAGACAAAACAGTGATAGCAATATTAGAATTAGATTAGACTAAGACAGACTGCATTAATAATGGTAAAGAGGATAAAGACAGGAGGATAAAGGGACCAGTTCACAAGGAGATTACAATAATGCTGAACCTTGACATGCCTCACAACATAGCCTGATAAGTAGTATCATGTCCTGCAGCCAGACTGCTTGGGTTTGGATCCCAGCTCTAGCACTAACTAGCTGCAAACCTTAGGCAAGTTATTAAACCTCTCTGTGCCTCAGTTTCCTTATACTGAAAATTGGGATGCCAGTAATACCTACCTCTTAGAACTGTTATGAGGATTAAGTGAACTAATACACATAAGTATTTACAATAGTGTCTGGTATCATAAACTTGGCTTTTTTTTGGTGCTGTTGTTGATGTTGGAATTGTTGCCCCAAATCATACCAAAAAAACCAACAAAATTCCAAAGAAAAATTGGCATGTCAGTAATCTTAGTAGATTTTTAACTTACTTCTCTAAGATACATATGTTTTAAAATACTTGAGAACACTGTGAGGTAGCTCCAATAAAATATTTAAACAGGCTTTATCTTTCAAATCATCAGACACAAAAATGTAAAGAAAACAATCCACATAACAAAAATACAAAGCTGAAAGGAAAAAGTAAATGAAATTTACTCTGAAATTCAGAGACCAAAAAAATAAGATGACAGAAGTTAACTAGACATAGCCATAAATGTGAATGCTTACTATATTAAAATACAAAATTTTTATATAGTAAGTAGAAAATTTAATGAGTTTCTACTTTATAAGAGACATATGTAAAACTGTGACAATGGGCTTAAAAATTTAGCAAAATATCAAAAATACAAGTCAAAATATAGTACAGATGACACTTTTATCATGAAGTTAAGTTACAAGGTAAAATTATAGGGAACAACATTGTATAATATTTTTGGAGCTGAATGATGTAACAATATTTTTTTAATTGTGCAAAATAATGTTCTAAAATGTTCTCAAATACACAACAATCCTTGAGAAGGTTGGTATTAAATATATACTTCATAAACTTTTACTATGAATAAAGCAACTTTTACAACTATTGAAGGAATATAAAGTAAAACATATCTGTATATACCTCCATTTAGGATTCATTTTCCAAGCTCCACTTCCCAAAGGGCATGAATATTCGAATCTGAGTGCTTACTTCCTTAGTTGGCTGGGTAGTTCATGAGCAGTCTGGAGACAGACCTCCTGCTTGGAGAATTGTAGGACATTTGATTCACCCGGACTTATAGTAAGCACTCAGAAATGTGGTTGGGTTGTTATCAGTTACTCACACCCAGGGCCAGGCAGGCACATGGCTAGAAACTCCAGAATGCTGGGAGACAACTGGAGGGTATGAAAACCTCCTAATGTAAAAAGGTTTCTCTGAGGTCTTGGTGGGCTCCTCACTTAATTATAAGGTGATAATTGGAAGCTGGGTACCTTTATAAGGACATGAAAATCAGGGAAATTTGCACCTCTTACTGGGAACACTGCATCCTTTGCTCTGTAGGTGTGTTATATCCACAGTCTGTCTGTTGGCCTCTTTCCATCCATGATATCACCATTACTCCTGTCACCTTGCGGGTAGAAAGTCAGGTCATGGATACTCTAGATAGTAGAGGACCCAGGCTAGAGCAAATCTACATGTGAACAGCTGCCAAAATGCCATCTCTTTTCTCTGTTCTGGAAATTTTGTTCCTGTTCCTTTCGGTGCTTGATACTATTGCAAAGATCTGCACAAGAGATCATGCAAGCATTATTGAGAGTGAAGTATATAGAAGTGGAAAAGTGGTATATCTCTGGTCCCAGAAGAAGCAGAGGAGAGTTTGGGATATTTTAATTCTGAGGGGTCAATGGTCTGTTTAGGTTCAGCTCAGTGTGTGTCTTCCCCATTTTTTCTTGATGGCACCAACATTCTACCTGACATGCAGGCTCCAGGAGACATCCATGGAATCATATTTTACCCCTTACTCTCATATTTGCCAGGTCCTGAAGAGACATATCTCACAAGAAAATATTAATGTGCAATACCTATTAGATTTTTGTTAGAAATTCAGATATTAATCTTCTTTCAACTGTTTCTTTCCCATTTTATTCTTTTATATATGTATTTTTTTCAGCATACATACCATGGACTTTTTGAATCCCTTTTCAGTATTGCCTTTGTGCCAAATGATAAAAAATTAACCTAAGAACCCCCCCGAAAAAGTACTAAAATGCTCCCAATGTAGATTATTAATGATTTTAATCTGTTAATATTTAAAGGTCAATGATTTTAACCTCATTACTACTAGATTAAAGACGTGACAGCATACTTCAGGTTGTTACGTGAGTTGGCTAATAAAATCTTCCTGAAGTTCTGAAGAACTTGCTTCTCCTAAGTTAGTGACAGCTTCACAGTTGGCCTAGCCATGCTTTGCCTCATTTTTGTTTTCACATAGCATTTTTCTCTCTCCTTTCAGGTAGAAATTGAGAAGCTGGATTACCATCATTATCTGCCTCTGTTTTTTGATGGGCTCTGTGAAATGACATTTCCCTATGAATTTTTTGCTCGGCAAGGAATCCACGACATGCTGGAACATGGGGGGAACAAGATTCTTCCTGTCATTCCACAGCTCATTATCCCGATAAAAAGTAAGTGAACAGGTAAAAAAGCATCACTCAGTTTATATGGTGCCACTTTTTGACAACTTGCTAATTAAGCAATAAAACACACAGACTGAGGCTATCCCCAGGTTTTGCAATAATTTTTATAAATTGACTTATGGGGCCAAACATCCCAAATCTCCTAATATATCCCATCATTGATATTGTGGTGCAGCTTAGCGACATAAATAAACTAAATTGCATGGGGTTTACACTAACTTAAAATGTTTCATAGTAAAGACATAAGCATTAACATTAATTTGTACATTGAGAAGTAAAGTGTATAATATACAATACAAACACAATTATATTTAGTATCTTTTATGCAGCAGAATTCATAATTTTAAGAAAAAATTCTGGAATGGAGAAACGATCAATGTTATTAAATACTTGAACTTTTTTGTCTACAGTGGATTATCTCGGGGGGGCGGGGTCTCTCGAGTAATCCTGTCACTGGCTTTATCTGTTTGTCTGTAAAATGAGATTGTGCTTCCTTTTTGTGGCCAATTTATTCTGACCTGAGTCCCTACAGACTTGTTGGCTGAGAGCACCCCTTTAAAAGTTTTTCTGAGAAAAACAAATACTGTATGCTAACACATATATATGGAATCTAAAAAACAAACAAACAAAAATGGTTCTGAAGAACCTAGGGGCAGGACAGGAATAAAGATGCAGATGTAGAGAATGGACTTGAGGACATGGGGAGGGGGAAGGGTAAGCTGAGATGAAGTGAGAGAGTGGCATGGACATATATACACTACTAAATGTAAAATGGATAGCTAGTGGGAAGCAGCTGCATAACACAGGGAGATCAGCTCAGTGCTTTGTGACCACCTAGAGGGGTGGGATAGGGAGGGTGGGAGGGAGACGCAAGAGGGAGGAGCTACAGGGGTATATGTATATGTATAGCTGATTCACTTTGTTATAAAGAAGAAACTAACAAAAATAAATAAGTAAATCCAGGAGAGAGAAAGAACTGAGGTGAAGGACAGATGAAGATGTATGGCAAAATGTTGATAACTGTTAAAGTTGGGTGATGGGTATGTGGGTTCATCATTCTCTCTACTTTTGTATATGTATTTGAAAATTCCCATATTAAAAAGTTTTAAGAAAAAAATAAAAGTGTTTTCTGAGATTTTCATTGTCCAGTGCAATGGCATCTCATGGCCCCCAGACAAGACCCTTAGCCACTTCCAGTCCAGTCTCCTCACCTAGCTGCCATCCTGCTGACGGCCCTTGAAATAGAGCCACCCTACAGTGACGAGATTCCAGGAGGGGGTTCCGGCCTCTTCTCAAGTCCAAATGGCCAGGACTGGCCCCCTCTGCTATCCCCTCAAGCCCCCAGACTCTGCCTGCACCAGAGTTGCCGACCTGCACTGTTGCTGCTGCTTCAGCTTTTGTCACTGCTGCTGATTGAAAAGCAGAGGGTGCCTCTGAGCAGGTCATGGGCAGAGGAAATCCCACCCTTTCCCAGCCAGAGCTGCCCCAGGCATTTTACCCACTGGCTCGGGGCCCAAACACCCCATGGCTTCAGAGGAATGAGCAGGTTCCTGCTTCCCCACCCCGAGTTCCACTCACTCCCAACTCCAGGATGGACCGCTGCCCAGGATGATTGACGGTACACCTGCCTAGTCTCCTAGGATACAGGGGAACCCCATCCTCACTGTCTCAGAGGTAGTCTTGCCATATGGTTTGGCCAAAACAAGAACAAAATAGTTCAACATTGGGTCATTTCCCACAGTCTGGATTACTTAATCTGATCCGTGGTCACTAGTTTATTGATTCGAATTAAGTGTCATTAGAGTTCTAGAATTTTGGCAGTTCTTCCGTCACTATGTAAATTGAGTCAACTTTAAAATTTGCTCTCATGTCTTTGAGATTTCTGTAAGAGATCTGTAACTGACCGCTTCCAATTTCCACCAAGACATAGAAAGTGAAACCAAACAAGAGGACAGTGATACCTGCTGTGAAAAGCAATGTGGAAAGAAAAACGACTCTTCAAAAGCGACTTTATTACAAACCAATTTTCCTTTCCCCTCATGCATCAGCTGAGTGAAGGGCTAATCTTTTAAAGACCTTCAGGAAGGATATATAATACTGAGTTATACTAAAACCTTTTCCAAATGTGGTTTATTCTTTCTAAAAAGTCATAATTTTTGAATATGTTAAATTCTAGTAAAAATGCTATATTTTCTAAAGATGATGCACAAGTTTTATCGATAAACAAAAAAGCCCAGAACATTCTCCCCAGGAACTATCTGGAGAGTACATTATCCTTTTCTCCTGCACCCACCAGAACAGCAGCAATACCGGAAGTCTGTTCTTTTCTTTACAATAAACTGTTCATTTTGGGATCCCTGCCTTCTCAGGAGTCTCTCCCTCATAGCCCCACTGAAAACACTGAAGGGCAGAAAGAGAATTTCTAAGAAATATTTTGATTATACCACTTACAATTAAAACAGTCCAAATTAGAGTATTGTAGGCCAAGGTGGATTGATTTTCAAGTTTATTTGATTTAAGTATTTTGAAGATACTTAAATGAGTTAAGAAAGAAGTGATGTGTTCTAAGGACACATCCTAGAGGTCATTTGCTGATGAGTGAAAACATTAAGAACTCAGTAAACATGATCTGTCAGGGAATAGTAACTATGTATGAATTTGATCATTTACAGTTCCAGAAGCAATGAAAGTTTCTCTTGGTAGATATCCTAGTTTGCCTTCCTGGGCTTCTGCTATTATATACTGATCCTGAATCTTCTAACTCAGCTTGCTTCTTCTCACTCTGTCTACATCACTGAAAGCCAAACTTTACTCAACAAAGAATAATGATTATCTATGCAAGATAATGCACTGTTCCAGCACAGTGTGAAAAGTATTACATACATAAACTACATTTTTCAGATGGAATTCTGGAAGGGAGCTACTTGATCCAGAAGCGGACTGATACACATCATTGGCATAACATATAACAGCTGTGTGTACCCTATTTTCAAAGGGTACTATTAGTAAAATTTTGGCTCATTCCAGGGGCAAAAGTTAACCTCACCATCACCAGCTAGCAGTTCTTTAACATCTTTTCTTGAATTCTAAGTCATCGATAATTAATATCTCTGAAGACAAAGCAAAATATATAAACTCCCTGTGGAGCTGTGAATGGGATTACCTGCCTATCTATTTCTGGAATCTGAGGTTTATTTCAAATAAATGAAAGGTTGATAATACTGGAATGAGAAATGGACACATTCAGTGGTTCTACAATTTCTAACATAAAAAGAGATAAGAAGACCCTTTACTTTCTGCTTCTCTCCTTGGCTCAAGACCCCAAGTGGGGTCATCGAGCAATAACGGGAACAGAGCACATTTAACACATTGTTCCATTTCTGTTGCTTTATGGCATCACTACAGGTCCTCCTCTTCCTCTCCCACTTTCTTATTTCCACCTTCTTGAGTTATTCTGGGTCAGAAACTACAAAAAAAATTCCAGTATAAAGTAGCCAGCGTTGGCAATGGAGTATTGATTGCTGAGAGCAACAGCAAAACGTTGTACACGAGGATGAGATGAGAAGGACCATGTGAGCAAAATCCAAACTGTGGATTTTAGACTTCTGTCCACTCCATCCAGTGAGGAGAACACAAATCCATCAAAATCCAGCAGAGCGATCCCAGGAAGAAGTCACTGGAAGCTGTGCCTATCGGAAGCAGAAGGGATTCCCATAGCAGCCAGGAGGATAGGAGGTGCCAAGAGCAACCTGCAGCCTCTGGGTTTAGCGCTCTCTCTCCTCCATAAAAGCAAGAACAATGACAATAACCCAGCCACACGGGGCCATTCAAAACAAGTTGCTACACACAGGGGAGAAAATATCATGAATAGTCAGAGGAAAACTGTACCTCAACAACATTTTGCATAGGATCCAGAAGAAACTTGTAGAAACGTGTTTGACATCCTCAGCATTCAGGAAGATACAGCCTCTATGAAACAGAAGCAGAAAGTTACAAGAGGAGACCAGACTCACATGAAAATAAGCCAGTGCTGACTGAGAAAAGGGAAACTAAAAATGTCAGAGCAGGATTAATGTCCCCCAAGAGGCACAGAGGACAATCAACTGCACAACCTGGAATTGTAAATGTAGCCCCCACCACCTTACGACTCTCCCTCAGAAAAGACGAGAATAAAAAAGAAGGTGAGGAAGGACTATAAAATGGAGAACATAGCACACAAGCAGGAGCTAAAAGTTATAGGGGTTCCCAAGAGGAGTCATCAAAACAACAGGAATAGAACTGATAATGGCAGAAGGAATTGAAAGAAATTTTCAGAGATGAAAAATATCCCTTATTTTGTAGGTAGAAAATGCTCATTACAAGGAAAAACATCTGGATAGGGGAAAACGTGGTACACACCAAGAAATAAAAATAACTGGGGCTAAGACATTTTTTCTAAGAGTAAATTCCAGACAGCAATGAGAATTGGAAGAGAATCACCTTATGCACATTTCATCCCTGTCATATGAGTAGCAAGACATGATGTAATAAACTGGATGAAAATTGGTTTAAAAAAAGAAGAAGGAAGGAGGAGGAGAAAGAGAAGAAAAAGAAAAGACTCACAGACTCAGTGAGCATAATGCCCACCTGCCCTTCGTACAAAGGGTTACTGTGGATGTGCTCCAACTCTCAGAGAGTAAAGCCAAGATAAGAACCCCAAAATGAGGATTCATAGTTTGAAAAGCAAGTTGCATTAAGAGCCACTAAATCTAGAGTTAAGTGTAAATAGTTGATGAAAAAGAGTTTCAAAACTGCAAGAAATGTCAAAGGATCATTTTGCAGTAATGTGGCAAAGATAATTCAGAGAAACTGGGTATAAACCTTCAAAGTCAATGGAGAAGATAAGAGCATTTAAAACAGAGTCTATATATTAAAAGAATGAAACTGAATAGGCAGCAAGGAAGTGCTGAGCCAAAAGCTCAAAGTAAGGTGAAAATCTGAAATCATAT